GGCTCAGACCACTGGACTCTGTTCAATTTTTCTCAGAGCAGAGCCTTGCTCACCTGTCGACTGAAAACTTTGTTCTCTCACATGCGGACCAATAATGCTTGCTCCTCGTGAAAATATTGGCTCTATTTCAGTCTTAATATAAAGACATTGTTATCATGGTTTCCCAGAAATCTCAGTTTTAGAAGGGAAAGCTCTGCAACTGAGACTTTAGGAACTCTTCAAAACATCTTTAAGGATCCTCCTGTACTCTCAGGGTAAAAATCGCATGCCTTTTTTTCTAAAAAAGTTGGTAGGGTATTGCATGTGTTTTTGATACATCCAGACTCTTTAGGAGGTCGTTAAGATTACTTACTTGTTTATTTGAATAAGAAACCTCTGTGCAAATAAAAGGAATTGTTTGGCCATTTGAGAAGTGATGTAAATGGCAGTAATATATTGCTAGAGGTGTCTAGCGGCAACTTCAAAACAGGTTACAGTGTGATTTACATGTCAATCATGACATTGTTATGGTTACTAACCCTGATACTTGTAAACTTTCTTGCAGTTATTTGTTCCATTACATATCAGAGGACAGAATTATATACTTATGCATTACAGATAATGTAAGATATTAACTAACCTTTATTCCTACCTGTTTTAATATATTTGTGTCTAAGACAGTAATACTTACTTGGATTTGAAGTTAAGAATGAGTTTTTGTTGTAAAATAATAATATTATTATTATTTATATCTTGACTAGATCAAGATACAATGTAATAGTTGATGAGGACATTATCACTGATTAGTTGATCTACTTATGTATTTTTTAAGTAGAATGAATTATTGAAAATGTATTTATCCATTTATCAGAAACTCTTGTAGTCACTAATGTTTTTCCTCACTGTATATTTGCCATTTCGTACAGTCACAAGCTCTATAAAAGCACACCAGTCACTGATCGCTTTTGTTTTAAATATTATTTCGCAACCACATAAGACTTTTGTCTCATGTTTCTTTTCTGACAAGGATTTTGAAAGATCAAAAGCATTTTTGTACCTGACAGAGATTAAAAAGCGGTAAGTCACCATATCTTTTTACACTGTAAATAATGACCTTGTTTTATCTGAGGTTTATTTTTTCATTAATGCTGATGTCTACTGTAATAATCTGCATTTTTGTGACATTTTTAACAGTTTTCAAACTGCATATCATGGACGAGCTCAGACAGCTTTGCCGTATGCTATGAACAGTGAATTTTCAAGAGTTTTGTCAGGGGAAATGGTGAGTTGTTCTTGCATATTGTTAGTACACTTGGTGGTATGTGGACCATAATAGCATATCGGTAGAATTTTTTGAAATAGCATTTTTGTGTTGATGGTGATGATGCTGATAATGTTAACTGCTGTTTTTCGCAGAGGCGGTTCTCAGACACTGGAGCAAGTGCCGATAATTTGACAAAGGTGCAGGGAGAATTAGATGAACTCAGAGGAATAATGGTGAAAAACATTGGTAAGAACTTAATGAACTGAGGCAGAGGAAATAAGAGTAAATATGAAATCTGGGTAGAGTTTGCACAAAGTAAAATTTCTAGGTTAACTTGGGGCGAAACTATTAGAATTCAAGTCTTCTCTTAAATTGACTTCCGCTAAGAATTGAGAGTGGAGAACTTGTAAATGGATACTAGGGGTAAAAGGGTTTAAACAAGTGCATGTACAACTTACTCTCACCTTGTGGAAACCCCACTTTAACAGACACCCTGATCATATGGACAGAAGCTTAATCCCAGCCAGTGATAAATTACAGTTGTTTGAATAGGCATGTTGATGGTAGTAGCGCTTTTAAAGGGTAAATCTGATTGCCATTTTAATCAACAGATACAATTGCACAAAGAGGAGAACGTTTAGAACTGCTAATTGACAAGGCAGAGGACCTCAATACCTCAGTGAGTTTCCTATTTTTTGCTGTATTGGTTACATAAAAAAATCTCAAATTCTCTTCAGTTTATTAAGTGCTGAAATTAAAGCTCAGTTATTTTGTCATTCCTACATCTTTGATCACTTTTGCATAAAAATCTTGAAGAACATACCATAGGATTCCAGCCACAGACTGAAAAGTTAGAACTACACAGTACTACAAAACAAATAGCACCACGTGAAAGTACTACTGAAGAGGATTCGTTTGAATGGTCACACCGTTAGAATTTGTCCACCAACTCAACATTTGAAAGACTCTTGCCCTTGCCTTGTGATAATTAATTTTCAAATACATTTTATCTCTCAGTCTCTCACATTCAAGAAATCCAGCAAAGGCCTGGCCAGAGCAATGTGGTGGAAAAATGTGAAAATCACCATTATACTCATCATTGTTATCATTGTAAGTATACAATAGAGAGAGTAAACCCTATGTCACTCCTGGGCGGAACAAGGGAGGGGGGTCGGGTCGGGGGCGGGGTTTGCCATGTCACTCTTGATCATGCCCCAGTTGTTCAAAGGCTGGATAGCGCTATCCCCTGGATAAATATCTATCCAGTGGATAGTGCAATTATTAGTTTCCCCAATACTTATCCATTGGATAGTGATTTATCGGGTGGATAGCGCTATCCAATGTTTGAACAGCCAGTCCCTGATGAAAACAGAACAAAACAAAAAGAAGGAAAATTTTTCACAGTGTGTGCACCAACTTTACTCCCACTGTGGGTCCTCCTGAACTGGTCCCCCTCTCTCTCACTCTGGAGAAAGGTGGGAGAGGACTCTGGGAATGAGGTTGTGTGTGTACATCCCTCAGGCAAATTTCATGGCATATTTGTGAAGTGACAGCAAAGAAATATATCATAAAGTGTGATATTCATGCAGAGTTCTTGTTTTGCTTGTTCTCATTGCTATCACCAGCTGAGCAATCCTTTCATTTTTCAGCTAGTCTGCGAGCAGTCTCTAATTTTTCTTCAGAGTCACAGTACATTGAGAGTGTGTGTGAGGGGCAAGTGCCTAATCCACAAGGAACAACGCCCTCACTGTACGTGGCTCTGAAGAAAGAAGGACAACCACTCGCTTCTTGTGTTGCAGCGGGGATCTACTGTCTTAATTATATATTTCTTCATTGCTTATTGTAATCAAAAAGCATAACTGATGTTTTTTATTTTTCAGGTGATTCTTTACTTTATCATATCAGCAGCTTGCGGTGGCTTAGACTGGGGAGGTTGTATACACAAAGATAAAAAAAATTAAAATTGGCGTGTTTATAATGAAGGATGACAATCTGAAGGAATGATCAATAGTGTTAAGACTGGTGTTTAAATTCACATTTTCCAAAAAAAAACTTTAATACTGTAAAAAGGAAAGTTTGGTTAAGGGTATAGAAAAGGCAGTCCTGTAGTCTGTCCGTACTTAGCTAGGCTTGTTAAATCATATTATTATGGCAGCACAAATGTCTGGATTATTATTATTATTATTATTATTATTATTATTATTATTATTATTATTATTATTATTATTATTATTATTATTATTATTATTATTATTATTGTAGAATGAATGCATTGCTTTTATAGTTTAGTATGTAGAAAATTGACAGATCACGTTCAGATTTGATTTTACGTTGCTTCAAAAACCACTTTCAGCTATCTTCTATCAGGATTTTAACTTCCTGTTTGCCTGGATTACTTTATCCAAATCCATGACACTCTGTAGATTTTGTTAGTTGGGGTGCATTTCGCTCAGAGATAGGATAGAATGTGCAAAATTCATATTCAGAGATGTTTATCCTAAAAGCAAACTCTCAGCTCAGGAATTACAGAAAAAATTGAAGATGCTTTAGATTAGAGGAGAAACCCTTTTTTCTAGCTTGCTGTATAATTACATCTTTGTTGCCTTATCCTCTAGTTTAGTGATCGTGATAATATTTTTCCTATGTTGTATCAATTTATGTTAGTTTTAAAAAATCCTTGAAATATAGATTTGGTGCTCCCAGTAGCCTGCGAAAACATCCGTTTCTCCTCGCTCTAATATTTTCCTTTTAAAATTACATGTATTAACTCATTATTGGGTCATCAACATACCGTATTTCCTCGAATAATAGCCGTCCTTCTAGTAATAGCCGTCCCTCGAATAATCGCCACCCATTGATGGAAATATTTAAAATAATCGCTTCCCTCAAATAAGCGCCCCTCCCTCGCCCCTTTCGCCATCTTTTCTTCCTGTTATCCCCTTCCTGTCAAGTTGAAGTGCAATGAGATTCAGCAAAACTGATCAGTGACGATTCAAGCTCTGAAAAGTAATTAAGAATTAAAATTTGGAATACTTAAAAAGCCCATGTTCAGTTTATTTGATGTGATTATCTTTTGATTGAATGGGAAAATAAAACAAACTATTTAGGGCACGACTTCCGGCACTGTTCCAGACTGTTCCAGTGAAGAATATTTGAAATAATTGCCTTCCCTCGAATAATCGCCCTCGGCTATTATTCGAGGAAATACGGTATTCTCTTTTAAAACAGCTTAGAGAAGGGAATTTCTTCGACCAATCTAGAGAGACCAGCTAGGAAAAACAACTCTTTATTTAGCAATATTCTCTAAGTGTTTTTTTTTCTTTCTTGAATTTTACAGTGGCATTGTTACTGCTACTATTTTTAAGAACGTCGCGTAATCAAGAGTTCTTTATAGATGGGAAAAAACTTTTTATCCTATGAAGTCTTAAAAAGTTTTTTCCTATAGGTTGTAGTCGATATCAGAAGTAAATAACTTCTACGGCTGTTATTTGTAAAAATATAGTGAACAAATACGGTGTTATAATGAAGCTAATATAAACAAAGGGATTAGGCCAAGAAACCAGGAAAAAACTTATTTTTCCTCCAATCAACGTCTAAAACCTACGCAAAAAAATATGTGTGTTCACTTTATAGTAATTACTCTAATAGCAAGGCCACTAGATCTCGTGAAAAAAACAACCATGAATATTCAAGAGGCATGAGTCAGCCTTGTTACTTAAGGTTCGTATTTGCATTTTCTGTAACGTGTCTTTTGATGTTATATTTTAAGTTGGCTCAGAATTTTTTCCGGGTCGCGGATGAGTTTCTTAACGATGACCTCCAATTTTGACGCCAGATCTAATCGCTTTTCCGGATTTTTAATCCTCGAAAGCAGGTCTACGTCACGAACAAAGTAATGGGGAAGTTGTCCTCGTCTCAAACGAGCAATCAAACTTGAAAAAAACTTGACTACGTTAATTCCCAGGTTTTCCTTGTTAATGGCTCGTGGATTCTGAGAACGCAAGTCAAGGAATAATGTTTTCAAATAATACGACGTCAGAGGTTTTAAATGGTCTTTGTTGCCCTCAAAAATCGCCTTTGCAATTCTAAAGTATTGTTTTTCGCAGCCATCACCAGCCTTGCTCAAGAGTGTCTTCTCTGCTTCCGAAAAAGAAATCCGCCAGAACTTTTGCGACTTTGCAGCTTCGCTCTGCTCTGCAGGACACGGTTTTGCCACGAGATGAAACCTGGGATCTATGAGCTTAATTTGCTCCACTTCTTCCTGTTTTGGCCAAGTCCTCTTTGTAGCGAAGACTCCCCAGCGTTTTGCACAACTCGGCCAGCCTGAGATCTCCAAGCTTAACACAAGATCCACATCAATTTTACGGTCTATAGTAAATGTTACGGCTGGACCCTTGGGCTCTTTCAGATTGGAGATACGTTGTTTTTGCTTTTTTTCCATCGCTGCCACGCTTTCTAGTACTAAAGAAAAGAAACGCCTTACAACTTTCCTAGGCGATAGATATTTTCCATCACTCGTGAGAAATTCTCCCCATAGACTTCTTCCCTCTTCCACCCATGTCTTCAATTCAACACTTGCGTAACCTGATGTGTCACGTGGTCTTGATGGACACTTCACATCAAAAAACCGTTCGATACGATGAGCATCAAACACAACCATAACATCAAATTCACACGGACGACAAACTTTCAGTCGCTCGTAGTAGCTACCTGTGACAGGAAGCACAAATTTGTCTTAGTTTAGCGGAGAACAAGAGGGAAGCATATTCACATAACTATCGCCTGGGCTAGAAATGGTACTCTAGGTCTATGAGAGTAAACCTAGTGGATTCTCACATCGCGAAGCCAACCGTCGACATGTTTCAAATCTTTAATATTAATCTGACTGAGCTGGGGGAACCTTTTTATGACCGAACCCCCGCGTTTAAGATCTTTTATGATTACATCAGTGTTACCTGTATTGAGTACTCTTAGAGCAAACTTGGCGTCTCTCTCGCGTACCGCAGCTAAAATCTTCTGAATGAAATTGTTTACAGTTTCCGAATTCTCCATTATATCTTTTTGAGATAAAGAGACCTTTTCTTTAAAAAATTTTGAAAATGGTTCGTTGGGGACTTGCATTGTGTGTAGGTTGTTTGTCAGATCCAAAGACCTAAAAACAGAGAAAACACAACAAAACAACTCCCGTTATTCTAAAAAATCTTAGCATAACTAAAGGGGCGAAAGTGGTAAAGAGAAAGTCGAAGTAAACGGGTGATGATAATTATCTATAGAAGGAGAGGGTAGAATCTATTGCAAGGTAAAAAAAAATTCTTCAAGGATCTCTTCTGTTTTTAGTAACCCATGACCAGGTTTCTTATTGGGGAAAAAGGACCAACAACAGGAAGAAAGAGGCGAACCGACCGAGCACAGACTGAATATTCGCCTTTTCAGTTTTCCACCAAGAGTCTGGTACCAGGCCCGCCTTTATAGAAGTTTTTCCTTCTACCTAAACACAAATAATTCATGACATCAGGCAGTAACTAAAATATGACCCCAAGTTTCCAAAAAACAGGCCACCTCTAACCACTCTTAAATACCCTCCCCCCCCCCCCCCCCCCCCTTTTTTTTTTTCCCCCTTTTCCCCTTACATTTTAAAACGGCACCAAAATTTTTACTTCAACAGAAACCACTAAAATAATATGACAAAAAAAACAAATTCAATAACTTTCCCTTTTCCCTTCGATTCCNGCGAACATGACTCTTGGTAGCCGGATGGCTTGGTTTAAAAGCTGGAACTGAAACCGGTGCAGCCTGTTTCCCTGGGATTTGATTCCCAACACCCTCTCTTGCACGAATGTATTCTTTCGGGGCTTGAAACCCCGGCCGGCCTGTAGGTCGTCTCCTCGAAGCAGCTGCTGCCCCTGTTTCTTTTATCACAGGTTTTGGGTCACCGGCAATTGGAGGACGACGTCGTCTTTCAGGACTTTTTTGCTTTGAGCAGGTCTGGGGTAATTTTTGAGGTCCATTTCTGTCCATAAAGAAAGCAGTAGTATAGGTACCATATCAGTTTAAAACATACCGTCTATTATATTTTCTGGCACTATTTTCGTACACATGCAATTGTATAAAAATCGTCCGAAATTTTTACAAGTCATATAAGCGGTCGCCTAGCCTGAGATCATGCCCTCTCCCTATTATCCCTTTAAGTTTCTCAAGCCAAAGAAACAAACAAGCACAAAAAAAAACGCCTGATCTCAGGTTAAGAAACAAAGAAGCAAAAAAAAAAAACGCCTGATCTCAGGTTAGCGGTCGCCTAACTAACTAACCGTTTGATACACGAGCATAGAGTGGCCCGGGGGATTCCCCGCCTCGCCCCCTAAGGCGGTTATTTTAAGACCAAAACCGCGACAAAAATAATTTCAAGGGCGATTCTCTCCCTGATAAATTCTAATGATAAAAACAGCTTTGAACGGGATAGAAGAGGTAAACCCGCCTGGAAAAAAAAGACAGTTACAACAGAAAGTATCCGTGCAAAGGATTCTCTTTCTCCTTGTCAGTACTATTAAAAAGAAAAGACGACCATTTTATTTGGTGCACTGGCATGGTTCTTCGATTTTTATCAACATGCATGAAGACCGTTAAGTGGTCATCAGGACGACACAAAATAATAATAACTCGATGAGTCTTTCTTCAATGGCTTAGCTTTACCTCTTTGCGGAGCACTGACCAACGTGTCTCTCGCTAACCGGATTCCTTGGTTTAGGAACTGCAGGAGCCGGTACAGTTTTTCCAGGTTTTAGATTTCGTCCACGAATACGGTCGTCTTGCTTTACTTCTAACCCGAGACAGTGCGAAGGTCTTCCACTTGAAGCGGTGATTCTCTTTGGTTTAATGTCCGCTTCTGCTTTAACTAAATGACATCTCGGTTTTTCCTCTGAGCATCCTGCCTCCTCATGAGTAGAAATTCCTTGGTGGAGAGTTTCTGTCCCTTTTATTTTCTTTACTGCTTCAACTTTTCTGATCGCCGCTGATTTGTCAACGTGGATTTGGGGCCTTCTTCGATGAACTTTACAACTGACAACTTTAACTTTAAATTTCAAGCTCTTGTTAGCTGGATCAACTAATCTTGTGGTCAAATAACACTTAGACATTTGTCATACTAGACTACGAGCTTGTGTAGAAACTTATATCACCATCCATGGCCCTCTTCTCAAATTTACATGAATGTTACGCAAAAACGGGAATGACCCTAAAAGCAATGTGCCTTTTACCGGAAGTGATATTCAAATCTCAAGGTACCCTCCTTTACAGCGCACATCAAACTGCAAGCGAACAACGAAAAGACAATAAAACTTATGAATTTATGTTATCTATATACAGCTTTAGGTACAGGCTCCTGTTTTGGTGTGGCGTTATACTTCTAAGTATATATCTAGCATACTGTAAGGCAGAGCGGAAGTACAAAACGATATTCTAAGAATTCCCATACTTACTTCCGGAAAATGAACTAAATAGTAATTACAGCTGTAAACAGCCAAGTTTTAACTTTTAAAACTTCCCCTGCTAATTCTTTTGAGAACGATATTTTTCAATTCGTTGGTACATAAAAAAACCCTGCAAATTCAGTTACTGGGCGGTAACAAATTTTCTACAACAGAACTCAACTCAAGAGAGAATGTTCAGTGAAGTGTTTCAGAATTTTAAAAGCTTTCTCAGTCACTTTCAGCCGCAAGAAAGCTGATACATTGTGTATACATTGTGCAAAATATAGATAACAAGTAAACTGAAGCAAATCGGAAAAGTATTTCATGAGGTACTAGAATATTGGCATCTAGCACATGGTATCAGTCAGTACCGTCTGACACGTTCCGTACTTTGAGAGGCATGGGTTTCAGCGGTTCTGCATTTTATTTAATTTTTGTGATTTCTTTTCGCTTGTTTATTTGTAGAGTGCCGATGAAAACAGCTGGAAATTTAGCAAAAATCAAGTACTAGAAAATTCAACAGGTTTCAGAATACTTTCTTTTCAGTTCTAACCGAATCAGAATTGATTAAGATTGATGATATGAATGATGATATATGTGTGTAAAGAAACTGAAATGATGCCGATTCCGTTGGTTTACCTACCTGTGTGAAAACTTTGAAGCAGCTGCGTGGTAAATCTCGATCTTTCTTTAGTTCAACTATTGAAGGAAAACTTTCAGGTCATCAAGGCGCGGCTGGATATAATATAAAGGCTATTTTTTAAACTGATTCATAAGTTGATATTAAACAATGAACAAATGACGAATCGAATGCGTGGGCGCCAGTAGTATAGAAACGGAAAAAACAAGGAAATTCAGATCCCTATAGTACATTTTTCTATCATTTTTCCGTCGTATTTCAAATGTGTCCTAGGGAGTGAGTGGAGTGGGAAATGGCTTTTTCTGGTTACATTCACTCGTTATCATGTATTGCTCCTTCCCCCAAAGCGAAACCATTTTTTCTTGCAGGTTCAGCCTCCATCCTCCCCTCCCCTCAAACAAAATAGGGAAGAGAGATTTTTTTGTGTGGGGAGGGGGAGGCCGTACACAGGATACCTTCCTGAATCAAAGATGGGGGGCATTCGAATGTACCATGTGCTTGCTCGCTGGCCATATAACGTCTGCATTTCGTTGGAGAAAAGGGGAAGGTATTCGTAGGCGAGTAGGGAGGGGAGGGGAGACGGCTGTTCGCAGTCTAGTTCAGTTAAGGATTATTACATGTAAGAAGTAACAGATAGTCACAGTTTTCCGATTTTTTCGAGTGGTTATATTATGCTCCCAATTAAATTATTTTACAATTTACCTTGAAATGTAAATTTGGCACTCCTCGTCACTTGTTTTACACATTTATTTTCCTTTTAAAATTACATTTATTTCTTCACTTATTATTAGGTCATCAACATATTCTCTTTTAAAACACCTTTGAGAAGGGGTTTTCTTTGACCAATCTAGAGAGACCAGCTAGGAAAAACAACTCTTTATATAGCAATATTCTCTAAGTGTGTGTGTTTTTTTCTTTCATAAATTTTACAGTGGCATTGTAACTCAGCGGTACTATTTTTAAGCACATCGTGCAATCAAGAGTTCTTTTTAGATGGGAGAAAAAATTTTATAATCTTGTGAAGTCTTAAAAACTGGCTTATTGCCTGTAGGTTGTTGTCGATATAAGAAGTATGTGTGTTCACTTTTCAGTATGCTGCAGTTCAAAATTTAGTTCTGGTTCATATAAATGGTGTCCATGTTTTCTCATGACCCTCTTCAAACACCTTAACAAGTGACAAAATCTACTAATCTCGACCCAGGTCTCCCACGGCCAAGGGAAAGTGTAAAACAGAGTGAGCTCTGCGTACAAGATTAAAAATCTTCTTTAAAAAATTCGGTGCTGGAGAAGCTTATCACTTTCCTCTCCGGTTCTTTTTTTTATCCAACTGATCAACTTTCACATGAGAGAGGGCGGTGTAATATAACTCTATTTCACTAAGCAGGGTCGGCCAGGGTATACAGGGGCTTTTAAATCGGGTATACGGTATATTGCAGCTTAAATACGGGTATTCGGTATATCACTTTCTTTGAATTTCAGGTATAAAGTATACCTGGGTATAATTTTGGGTATATTTGGATGAATTTTAGGTATTTTTGGGTATTTTGGCGAATTTTTTCGGGTATACTGGTATACCACTACCCCCCCCCCCTCCCCCCGCCCCTGGTCGACCCTGACTAAGTGTAGTTAACAAATAACCTGTTCAAAAAGAATGAACTGGTTTAAAAAATCATTTGAACCAGATCTAAAATTGAACCGCAACAAGTACATTACCCTTATAATGAGGCTATTAGATCTCGTGAGGAAAAAAAAAACAAAAACAACCATAAACTTTCAAGAGGAATGAGTCAACTTTGTTACTTAACGTTTTTACTTCCGTTTTCTGTAAAATTTCCTTCAATGTTCTATTTTACAGTTTAAGTTCCCCCAGAATTTTTCGTGGGTCGCGGATGAGTTCCTTAACAATGACCTCCAATTTTGACGCCAGATCTAATCGCTTTTCATGATTTTTAATCCGGCTGGAAAGCAGGTCTACGTCACGAACAAAATAATGCGGAAGTTGTCCTCGTCTCAAACGAGCAATCAAACTTGAAAAAAACTTGACTACATTAATTCCCAGAAGGTTTTCCTTATTAATGGCTCGTGGATTCTCAGAACGCAAGTCAAGGAATAATGTTTTCAAATAAAACGACGTAAGAGGTTTTAAATGGTCTTTGTTGCCTTCAAAAATCGCCTTTGCAATTCTAAAGTATTTTTTTTCGTCGCTAGCCTTGCTCAAGAGTGTTTTCTCTGCTTCCGAAAAAGAAATCCGCCAGAACTTTTGAGAGTTTGTGGGTTTGCTCTCCTCTGCAGCACAAGGTTTTGCAACTAGATGAAACCTGGGATCTTTCAGCTTAATTTTCTCCACTTCTTCCTCTGTTGGCCAAGTCCTATTTGTAGCAAAGACTCCCCAGCGTTCTGCACAACTCGGCCAGCCTGAGATCTCCAAGCTTAACACAAGATCCACATCAATTTTGCCGTCTATAGTAAACGTTACGGCTGGACCCTTGGGCTCTTTCAGATTGGAGATACGTTGTTTTTGCTTTTTATCCATCGCTGCCACGCTTTCTCGTACTAAAGAATAGAAATGCCTTACAACTTTCCTAGGCGATAAAAATTTTCCATCGCTCGTAAGAAATTCTCCCCACAGCCTTCGTCCTCCTTCCACCCATGTCTTCAGTTCAACACTTGCGTTACCTAATGTGTCACGTGGTCTTGGTGGGCACCTCACATCAAAAAACCGTTCGATACGAGGAGCATGCAACACAACCATAACGTCAAATTCATCCGGACGACAAACTTTCAGTCCCTCGTAATAGCTACCTGGGGTAGAAAACACAAATGCGTTTTGGTTTTCAGTCTAACAGAAGTATGAGAAACGTGAGGGCAGCATATTCACCGCAATCGCCTTGGCTAGAAATCAGGATTTCCTGCAAATACAACATAATATACTGTATGCAACTACCTCATCGCAGGCTATGATTTTGAAGATCGTTTATTCATGATTACGTGTTACCTGTATGTAGTACATCTAAAGCAAAAATTTCTCTTTCAGGGTGTCTCTTGCGGGCGTCTGTCTCGCGTACCGCATCTAAAATCTCCGGAATGAATCTGTTTACAATTTTCGAATTCCGCTCTATATCATCTTGAGATAAAGAGACCTTCTCGTTAAAAAATTTTGAAAATGCAGTTTCGTTAGGGACTTGCATTGGGTGTAGGTAGGTCAGATCCAAAGGCCTAAAAACACAAAATACAAGAAAGAAACTGCCCATCACTTTCAAAAAGTCTTTACATATCTAATGGTGGGAAATCTGTGAAGGGAACGTCATGGTAAACTTACCAGTTGGGCCATAACCATTTCTGCTTACTCAGTATTAGCTGGACCGGTCATTATTTATGGAGGGAGAGGGAAAAATGTATTGCAGGGTAAAAATATTCTTCAAGGATCTCTCTGTTTTCTAGTAGCCTAGGACCTGGGTCTTTTCTGTGGTAAAAGGACGAATAACGGGGAATAAAAAGGCGAACCGAGCAGGGACTGAGGAAGGAGAGGGCCGGCCGCCGCCCTTTCCCCCTCCCCAGTCTATCTATCTATCTGTCTATCTGTCAAATATGCCTCCATCAAATTTATGATTCTTGTAAATTGGCCAGCGCTCAATAAATCAATAAAAAATAAATATTTAAACAACATTATAAATCAAATTAAAGGCAGTTTGTAAATGCTATCAAAGAGGAGCTAAATTGTTTCACTCTCCTGTCAGTTCTTAAAAAATAGGAGTATCCTCACAAGTTTGGTTATTAACATAAAGGCTAACTCTCGACCCAATGGCTTCAGATATTTGCCAGTGCCTATCTCAGTTTGGTCATCGTAGATTTTATAGAACATGGTTGGTCTATTCTTCTTTCGTCTTTCTTCAAGGGTGTTCCATTGCAATTCCTATAGCGTTTCATTAACACAAGTTCTCGATTTGCACCCCGTTTCAAATAATTTTCGCCTTTTTTCTCCACCAAGGAGCCTGTTCCCAGTTTACCCTTTTAGAAAGCCTACCGGACTGATTTCATATCCTTACCTCTTAGGAGAATACTGGGGAACATGTCTTTTCGTAACCTGATGGCGTGGTTTAGAAGCTGGAGCTGAAACCGGTTCCGCCTCTTTCCCGGGGATTCGATTTCCAACAACCTCTCTTGCATGAATATATTCTTTCGGGACTTGAAACCCCGGCCAGCCTGGAGGTTGTGTGCTCGAAGCAGCTGCTGCTCTTGTATCTTTTATCACTGCAGGTTTTCGGCCAGAAATTGGAGGACGACGTGGTCTTTCGGGACTTTTTTGCTTTGGACAGGTCTGAGGGAATCCTGGAGTCCAGTTTCTGTGTAAGAAAAAAGCAGAAGTATAGGTACCATACTAACAGACCGTCAGTTTTACTTTCTAACCCTATTTTCGTACAAAATTTAAATCGTGCGAAAATTTTCCAAGTAATATAAGCGGTCACCTAACAAAGTTGCCGCTTGATACACGAGTTCATTCCCGATAAAGAGAGTGGCCCGGGGGATTCCCCGCCTTGCCCCCTAAGGCGGTTATTTTTAGACCAAAATCGGGAGGAAAATAATTACGAGGGCGGATCTCTCCCTACCCCTTATAATTAATTCAAGGAATAAAAACAGCTTTGACCTGGATAGAAGATGAAAATCTGCCTGGAAAAAAAGATATAGTTACTACGGAAAGTATCCGTTAAAAGGAATCTCTCTCTCTCTCTCTCCTCGGTAGCAAAAAAGGGCTAATTACGAATATTTTATTTAGTGCACCAGCAAAGTTCTTCAATTTTTAACAAATCAGAACGTTAATAGGTCAGGACGAAACAAAATAATAATGCTAATAAAGTAATAATAATAATAATAATAATAATAATAATAATAATAATAATAATAATAATAATAATAATAATAATAACAATAATAGTAATAACAACCCGAGGGGTCTTTGTTCAATGGCTGAGCTTTACCTCTTTGTGGAGCACTGACCAACGCGTCTCTCTCTAACCGCATTCCATGGTTTACGAACTGCAGGAGCCGGTAGAGTTTTTCCAGGGTTTAGATTTCGTCCACGAGTAAAGTCCTCTTGCTTCACTTCTAACCTGCGATGGTGCGAGGGTCTCCCACTCAAAGCAGTGATTCTCTTTGGTTTAGTGTCGGCTTTTATCTTGTCAGTAGTTCGATTGGAACATCGTCTCTCAGGACTTTGCTGCTTAACTAGACGAAATTTGGGCTTGTCGTCTGAGCATCCTGCCATCTCATATGTCGAGATTCTCTGGAGGATAGTTTCCATTTGCTTTGTTAATTCAACTTTTCTGATCGCCGGTGATTTGTCAACTATTCGGGGCTTTCTTCGACGAACTTTACAACTGACAACTTTAAATTTAAACTTCAAGCTCTTGTTAGCAGGATCAACTAATCTTGTGGTTAAATAACACTTAGACATTTCATACTAGACTACGAGCTTGGGTGGAAGCTTATATCACCATCCATGTGCCTCTCCTCTTTTTTTAAAAAATACATGTTACGCAAATATGGGACTGACTCTTAAAATGCGTTCTACCGGAAGTGATATTCAAGTGCGAAGCCCTCCTTAGTAGTGCACATCAAACTACAAACGAGCAAACAAAAGTGCAATAGAACTTATGACTTTATCTTATCTATATATAGCTTTATCTACAGGCTCCTATTAAGGAGTGTGGCGTTTTACTTGTAAGTACACAAAGCATTTTAATATATACCAGTCATGTCTTGTACATACTGTACAACAGAGCGGAAGTACAAAATGATATTCCAAGAATTCCCATTCTTAATTCCGGAAAATATACGGACTTGTTCACCTAGTTTTAACTTTTTAAACTTCCTCTGCTAATTCTGTTGAGAGAGAGATTCAGTTCCGATTTGTTGGTACATAAAAATCCCTGTAAATTCAATTACTGGGCGGCAAAAAATTTCCTAAGACAGAAACTCAAGAGAGAATATTCAGTGAAGTGTTTCAGAATTTTAAAACATTTCTCAGCCACTGTCAGTCGCAAAAAAGCCGATGTTTGTTTATGCATATTACTTTAGCTGATTATTTTAGTATATGTATACATTGTACAAAATATTGATAATAACTAAACTGAAGGAAATCGGGAAAGTATCTTATGAGGCAGTCTACAAATGCTGGCATCTAGACGCTGTCAGTCAGTACCGTCGGAAACTCCAAATAAGTAGTTCCGTACTTTGAGAGGTATCTGTGTTCCGCAGTTGAAGAGTTCTGTATTTTATTTAATTTCGCTTATTTATTTGTAGTGTCGATGGAAAAAGAAAATTTAGGAAACATCAAGTACTAAAAAATTCAACAGGTTTCAGAATACTTTCTTTTTCCAACCTAATCAGCTTTCATCACGATTGATGATATGTATGTAAATAAACTGAAATGATGCCGATTCCGTTGGTTTACCTACCTGTCTGAAAACTTTGAAGAAAGTGTTAAACATTAAACCTTCTTTCGTTCAACTTAGGAAAACTTTCAGATCATCAAGGCGCGGCTGGATATAATATAAAGGCTATTTTTTAAATTGACTCATAAGTTGATATTAAAACTGAAATGAAAAGGTGGAGAATCGAATGCGTGGGCGCCAGTAGTATAGAAACGGAAAAACAAGGAAATTCAGATCCGTAAAGTACATTTTTCTATCGTTTTTCTGTCGTATTTCAAATGTGTCCCAGGGAGTGAGTGGAGTAAGGAATGGCTTTAGCTTGTTACGTTCACTCGTTATCATGTAATACTCGTTCCCCCAATGTAAGACTTTCTTGCATGTTCAACCTCCACTCTGTTGATTTTTAAATTCACTCAGTTTCCTAACCCTAATCACTTATAATTAACTCAGAGTCATTCGGCGTTCTGCAAAATAACCCTGCCGTATTCATTTGCTGTTCAATGGCAAGTGATCGAATCTCACATCAGTCCACATCAGCACAGCCCAAATCATCTTACAGTACAGAAACTGATGAAAACGGGAAAGTTGATCTGACCCTGTTTGATCTATACTTGTTTTTAGATCTTGAAATAGGCCTTCGGATTTTATTTTAGAATAGACACGGACACAGACATACACAAGAGACATCGGGGAGATTACGTGATTGAGCCCTAGGGAAAAGGCAAAGAAGCAACAGAAAGTCACAGTTTTCCGCTTTTTTTGAGCGGTCATGTTCCGAATTAAATTATTTTATAATTTGTAAGTTCAATGACCTTCGGTAACCTTCAGTTATTCGTACGCGCCAAAAAACAAAAGCGATTTTAATCTGATGGATGAGAGCGGAACACAGATCATTGAGGGCTAATAACGTTAGGATGTCGTTCAAAATCATGTGAATTTGCAGATTTAAAAAAAGAACTTTCCCCAGGACTGTTTTGCCGAAATTGGCAACAAAATCGCGTGAATAATTTCGTTCTAACCTGCATAATTGGGAAACGGACCTCAGAGGAAACAGGAGTGCATTTCTATTGGTCGGTTTTATGATAAAAGATGGAATCTGATTGGTGCATTTCGATCCTAGTCAAGGCCATAAATTGAACATTGCCCTGCATCATCCCATTATTCGTTACAAGTTCGATACCTCTGAGGAGATCAAAGGAAATTTCTAAAGTTCGTCATGTCTGGTCGCGGTAAAGGCAAAGCCAAGGGCACAAAATCCAAAAGCCGTTCTTCTCGCGCGGGGCTGCAATTTCCAGTCGGTAGAATCCACCGTCTTCTACGTAAGGGAAACTACGCTGAGCGTGTCGGCGCTGGTGCACCCGTCTACCTCGCTGCTGTCTTGGAGTACTTGTCCGCTGAAATCTTGGAATTGGCGGGCAATGCTGCTCGAGACAACAAGAAATCAAGAATCATTCCACGCCATCTTCAATTGGCAGTTCGCAACGACGAAGAACTGAACAAGCTTCTCGCTGGTGTCACGATCGCTCAAGGAGGCGTTCTTCCGAACATCCAGGCTGTTCTCCTTCCAAAGAAAACCGACAAGAAAGGATCCAAGACGTCTTCCCAGAGTCAAGAATATTAGAGACTAAGAACAGCAACCCACCTTACAACGGCTCTTTTAGGAGCCACCAAATCTTTCAAAAGTCTTAGCCAATGCTGATTTTGTGTTTAATTAAGAGCTAGACGTTCGTGCTTCCCGCCAAAACCGTTAATGCTTAGAAAAATTCCCTAGGTCTAATATCATGCTTAGCAAGGCAAGTTAAAAGTATTAAGATCGTAATACGTGACGGCTTGGGCCAAATTGCTTACGTTAAGAATAGTCTAGCATGGGGCAACTGCAAATCTTTTGCTGTAGGAAGTAATTCACTAGAAAATACCGTAACAGTGAGTTTTATTGGAGCAAAACACGTATAGATAAAGATTCTGAACGGTGTTTCATTTTAGACACTGACTGTAGAGTGCAGCTTGGGCCCAGTTCAAACGTCGAATTTCACATGTGTCGAACTTAATTGCCATTTTAGTCGACTAAAATAGTTAAATACGGGATTTGATTCAAACGTCGAATTTAACTCACTGAACTCTGTCGAATTTAACTCTCTTCGCCGTCAGTACTCCCACTAATATAATAATAATTTACTAAAATTCATTCATTAAGTTCGGCACATGCGAAATGCGACGTTTGAACCGTGCCTTATATACAGCCTTTCAAATCATTATTTACTCCACATGAACTCTTGGTTTGCATCTGTTATACCTTTTCTGGGAGAAGGAGAAGTTGATTATATGCCTAGTGAGTGACATATCTGTTTTTAATCAAAACACAAGGTGAGAAAGGTGTGCAGTGTTGACATTTGCTAGTTGTATTGGCAGTTGCAATATTGGAATTTCATCTTCTTATCTCCTGTGATAATATCACTGTTTCAGGCATGCCACCATATGAACAGCTCCTTCTTATAAATATTCACAGTCAAGTTTAAAAGAGAGACTTATGATTGGCATCGACTGAGCAAAGCGTTGATTCCAGCAATTTTTCTCTGCACTTTACAATGTTCAATGTGTGACAGTGGACATTACAGTGTCAGATCCTTTACATGGGAACACTGCAAAGGACACCAGTTGTAGCAGCTGAACTTTGCTCTAAATTTGACTTGAATCCATTTCAATCTGGATATCAAAAAAAATAATAAAAATATTATTGTACTCCTTGTATGTGTTGATACCTTCAGCAGCCAGAGATAACCATCTTAGCCCTTGTTTCAAATGCTGTCCCCAATTTTAATGTTCACTTCACAATTCATGTGCTAAACAAAACATGATGAAGGCTGGCTCTTTTCCATGATGTACAGCCACATCCGTTTAAGACCGATATTTTTGGGTCCATGTATGTCGTAGAAAGGGGCTTGAGAGTCTGGCCTGCTCCCAATGTAAAGATTAAGCAGTGTAGAAAACGCTTTAGGGACACCCACTTAATATGCACCCCTCGTTATTACCGAAGTATGTGAAAGGGGTAGTCCTTTTGCATACCTTTTATTTACAAATGGTACATTTTCTGTAAAAAATGGTATATAAAAGCTAAAGGGGTCGGATATCTGGGCAGAGCCTCCCTGTGTAAAATTTTGTTGAGTACCCTCCCCGGATCTTACTATAGAAGTATCGAGCTAAAATTGTGGGTATTATGTCAGCATATGCTTGATACTTCAGATAGTGAATATTAGGCTCAAAATAATGCCAGCACAATCATCAGACATCCCTAATGAGGTGTAAGATGTGCTCTCTAGTTTTTGTCTGAGGCAACATGGCCGACAGGTCAGTGTGTCAGACTCACAATCTTGTGGTCCTGGATTTGAGACCCGCTCTTTCTTAACATCTAAAAAGTCTTGCAAAGAATATTCTGTTGAGCGAAAACAAATCAAGTCGACAACAGCCACCTACTCCAAACTTCAAATGTTTTCAAATGTTTGGCGGCAAAACATGTCATGCTTGCACCCAATTAGGACATGTTTTTTCCTCATGTGTACACGCCTAGATGCAACTGACAGTAAATAGCCACAAACTAGGGTCTTCTGCCAGTTGGGATTTTGAATTATTTGTTTCTAAGTATTTAAGTGGAGTGCCTGTAAACTAGCAGGATAAGCTGCATGCACTTTCCACTATATTCAAACCTTTAACATTTTAACCTTTTGTTCCCATGCAAGTTCATGGTTTACAAGAGACTATAGTGTTGAGCATCCTTCCTTGCAATGATGTAAAAATTTTCACATCACAAAAAATCAACATAATCACCTCTCCTTCAACAGACTCCACATCAGGTGTTGCAGGACTTTCATAGTCATCAGTTTCATCTTCCATATCATCATTTGATTCATCATCATCCTCAAGATCGTCATCTTCTTCCTCCATTCTCTATCAATGGAAAAAAGTACAAGAAAATTAGGATGCATCTTAATAACAGTTGGGTAGCAGATACCTAATTTTAAGTACAATCAAACCCAGCTTTATGGACACCCGCTTAATACGGACACCTCATTACTACGGACAGTTTGCTTTGTCCCTGGGGAAAGGAAGCCCTTAAATCAGGGGCACCCAACGAAAATATAGTTCAAAACCACTTAAACATAGCATTGTTGAATGTATTTTAGTATTTAAACAGTAGATATAGGCATATTTTTATCCCCTAAAAATTTTTCATCTGTTCAGATTTCGTTGCTGAAAGTCTAGTGATCTGAAAATTATAGGGATCAAAACTTACCTTTTTGAAAATTTCAGCCAGAAAAAAGGCTCTCAAAAATTCTAGGTGACCTTTTTAGAGTAAAAATCCGTTAAAAATGGTCAGTTATACCATTTTTGGGGGATTTGAAAATCCTAGGAGAGGCAGGCAAACAAATTCTAGATCTCAAATCGTCTTCCGAACAGATATTTTCCAAAATTGTCATAGGGTGCCCCTGTTAAATTTTCTCCAAATTAAACCCACTTAATAGGGTCACCCCATCAATACAGACACTTTCCATGGGCCCCTCAGAGATTTTCTTCTTAGTGTAAGGCCTCTTACTAGGACTCACAAGGAATGTACAAAACCCATATAAGCCAACTCTCCTGGATTATCCGGGAATCTCCCAGATACAACACCAATCTGCTGGTCTCCTGGACAGGTCACCAAATCTCCCAAATAAAATGGGAAAATGGAGTTATGAGCTTTTCTGTGCTTCAATTTGGAAGTTATCCCATTTTCTCCAAAAATTCGATTTTTTTTTTTTTCATTCATATTTCGGTTTCTGGGGCATTTTTGCACATATTTCATCTCTGACAAAGATAATGTCCTAATGTCCTAAGCCATTCCCATGTGATAAATTAGGGACTGGATCGAATTGTTCTTACTGGGGGATCAGGATCAAGGGGGGGGGGTTGCTCGTTGATATTTGGGGGTGGGGGTAATGCAAAAGAGAGAGTATCCAAGTTTTTAGATTTCCTAAGGTTGGCATCTCTGACAACCCCTAGGTTCTCTGTTAACCATAAAAATATAAGTGACTCAATCAGAGCTTACCTCTTGTTTATCTTTGCTTTTAGTTGTTCCAATTGGAGGAATGTCACTGCCCTTATCCAGAATCTTCTTACACTGTCAGGATTAGGGAATTTTAAATTCGTTCAAAAATTATTCAATAAGTGCTAAGATAATACGCGTTTAATAATGCTGAATAATGTTAACGAACATTTGGGCAATTCATTGCATCGGTGAATAATGTTAAGTTTCATTTATAAAATACCCGGCCACAACTTAGCTTTCCACATCAATAATAGATTCTTGAATCTTCTGTTTTATATATATTCTTCGTTTTACAAGACGCTGATAGATGTAGCCGGGTATTGCAAATATGAAGCTCATCGTTGACACTTACATACACAAAAGACTTCAACAACTAGCCGTAAAAATAATTTGTAACGTGGCCAAAACAATTATGCTAGCGTTTCCAAAGATTCCCTGCTAGCAGAGGTCTCTCACGACGAACCTCTGCTAGCAGGGAATTCCAAAGAAAAATCAACAAGCTGAGGATTGGAAGACGCACCAATGCAGTATACTGTTCCTCCTCTTTTGTCAGGGCAGCATCATCGTCTAATCTTTTTTCTAAAGTAAACCAAAGGTCATCAGCGATTCGAGGAAGAAGAGATGGAAAAGTGGCTAACGAGTTCGCCATCTTGGAAATTTGAACTTCCCACAACATACCGCTGACTTTACAACAATGTTTTCATGTACCACGCATTGATGTGGAGTAAGAATGTCAGGGAAAGGCCTAACCCGGGGTTAAATTTTAACCCGGCTTTCTTTTTCTTTTTATCAAAAGCACTCTCTTGGGTAATTTTCTAGGCAAAGAGAATTAAACTGAATTTATTTGCACTAACGCTAGGTTATCTTAACCCAGCTTCGAAAAACCCGGCCCTGGTGGTTAGGGGAGGCGGAGGAGGAGGTATAGGTATGTGGTGTATGTGGTGCCCTGGGTCTTAAGGCCTGACCTTAAGGATGAAACACAGTGCCAACTGAACAAGGGCGAACTAAATGATACCCTAATTACAGATTGAGGACCCTATCGGGAAGCACATACTTATCTAGCCCACGGTTTTATTTGAATATCCACAGAATCTCATAAGTTAGAGGAATCAAGTACTGTAAGAATAGTACCAAGTAAAATACTACAAAATTCTGTCCGCAGATTCAAAAGCTGGTACTTTATACCCAAAAATAATTTTCTAATCTATCAGAGTTTAATCGTGCAGCATAGACGTTGCATGGACAAGTGAATAACTCAAGTCAATGAAATTTTAAAATAATTTAATGTTCATAATACCCTATAGAAAATGCATTTTAGTACACCTGCACATACAAGAAACCTAACTACAACTCCTGAACCATCTCTTAAGCAAGCACTGATATGGGGTCTAAATTCACTTAAATTGTATTTCCATTATTTTCATATAATGATCAATTCTTGTAACATACCTTGACCACACATTTGAGTTGCTAATAAAATATTATTATTACCTTGTCGTGCAAGCAGAGGCCCTCGGAAGGTGAAAGGGTCTATGATTGCAGGGAATTCTTGTGCATTTTTGCACAAAACATTCAAATTTATAATCACCATGATATAGAAAAATTTACCCTTAATATTCAAACTTTTAGAAAATGTAACTGGTAAGCAAAGCACGGAAATTTTTTTTTCATTGCATTGTGTTATAATATTATTCTTTTGACTTAAATTGCAAGGCATTGCAGTAGACTGCCTTGAAACTTAATTATGTAAACTTAGCCTTGTCTTTAAAATTCTATACATCATATCATAAAAAATGCTCTTGATAACACAACATTCTTAGAAAAATACAAAAGAAGCACCTACGTTAAATTCTTTTCCTGCTTCCATATTACTTTTTTTTTCCTTAAAAAATAGCATGCATGTGCTTAAATAACATTTTTAATAATGATCATAGTTATTTAACAAAATTGCTGGTCACTACATTTTTTGTGGGAAAAAGCAGTGTGAGAAAACTAGCAAATTCTTTTGTTTTTGTCAACATTCAGGGCTGCAAATAATATCATTTACTTAATAAAAGGACAGATCACCACTTGGGTCTCACACAACACCAAATTTCTTGCACACACATTATCAATGAAAAATAGTCTGCAAATCCCCAGCTTCAAGATGATTATCTTGGTGTTCAACGTCTGCTTATCATGTCGGACCACAGGTAGGATTTTATTGGATGACAGGTATATTTCAGGAAGACATAATGTAATGATCATCTATTATTTACAGCTGTGAATATTTCAACCTGTGAAAACAGCTGACATTTCATGATGCCACCCCTGGTTTCCCCACAAAATGACGTCTGAGAAACAAGTGCAGAAATTCCATACTGATGACATGTCACTACCCAGATCTTGGTAGCACTTCTGATTGGTTGAAGCAAATTTCCCTTGCAGCATGACCAATCAGAAGCACTACCCAGATCAAGGTAGTGACAAGTCATCAGTAAAGAACTTCTGCGCTTGTTCCTCAGACATCATTTTGCAAGGAAAACAGCAGTTGCATCGCGAAATGTCTACTGTTTTCTCAGGCTATGAATATTATTCTTACACACATTGTAAAAACAACTTCAGATGTTCTAAAGGACCTACTGCAGCTCTGTGTTTGGCTTCAAATGGCCCACAAAAATTTGGGTGATCTCATGGCAAAACTAGAAAATATAAACAGCCAATGAAACCAAACCATAATGTTTGGTCAAGATCATTTAAATACGAGCTTAATAACGTAAGTGTAAAAACAAATAATCAATTTATTGACCAAAAACAATCCTATAAAACACAAATAGTAAGATTGTGTTTGTTTGGGAGATCCAAGATTAGATGGACTCATTGCGATATAAGAACATAAAATCCAAAAAGATATTATTTTAAGTGACAGCTATACTGGAACAAAACTACAGCATGGCAGGTGCCACATTTTCTCGCAAAATTCACTTTTCTTTGCTTAAGCACCTAAAGAACCACATCATGGTTCATAAAAGACTAATCCAGATTTGAATTTTGATCTAGTGAATCCACAGTCTGTGTTTAAACTAAATTGCTTTTGGATTCAACAAGTTAGTAAGCTTTAGATTGTCCCAAAGAAACACACCCTTGCGTCCTTAAGACACAACAGTCAGAAAAGGGGTCTTCATTCCTTTCTATAATAAACTGGCTTTTTTTGTTAACTAAAGCCTGAGTTCAAGACTTAACAATAATATCAAGAAATAAATCTGTAATTTCCACTTGACAACATTGATTCTCCACTTGTTACCACCAAAAGTTCAAAATTACTTAGTAAATTCATATTTTTGTTTCAAATGACTCCTTTGGGTCTTTTAAGTTACCAGTTTTTCCATCACGAGATTTTGATGAGCTAGCGCTATGAGATGAACTTACTCCTAGCTTCTTGATACCAGAAATAAATCCTCGTTTTTCAGTAGGACTTTTAACTTTCGCGGCAGTTTTCCCACGTTTCTCCTGACCCTGGGAACTGCTTGAAGTAAAAGCACTTTTACCCTTCTGTCTCATTTTGTGCAGTAGGGAAAACTGTTTCTGCTTGCTCTGTGGCAAGGGCTTAGTTGCAACCACATCATCCTCCACAAGGGAAGTTCTCACTGGCTTCTCTGTATATGGCGGTGGTTCAAGGACATTCGTTTCTGACGTATAAGGGGGGCAAGCTCCACCCCAAGGTTCTTTCATTGCTTGAACAGAGTGCAAGTCACGGAAACTGGCTGAGTAACGTCTTTCTTCTAACAACTCTCCGTGCGGCCCAAACTGTGGCGATCCTGGAACTTCCAGTTCCTTTCTTGATGCAGCCAGGGAATCAGAGCTGTTTGATGAAGAGACACTATCAGATCTTTGAGGTTTCTCTGTGAGACTGCTATTTGAGACCGTACTACCACTCTCTGATTGAGCTGATGACAACTTTCTCTTTAGTGTACTGGTGAAGTTTCCATCATTAAGTCTCATTACACTGAATGCCTCCAACACTTTAGTTACTCTTGTATGACCTGGTCAATTAGAGAAAGAAAACTAGTTAATTCAGGTGTTAGGCTCGATTATCAGCTGCTGCTCAGGAAATGAGACCGCAATCCTCCCCCAAACAGACAGCTAGACACATGAGTTTGCTATTGTCAAATACCACCATCCAGATCATTACCTACTCAAATTGAGCAGGCAGCATGTATTTATTTTCCTGGAGCACAATTCAAATGGTGGATGCAAAGGTGTTGTTTGATGTGGCGTGCAATTGTGTTTTAGAGCATTTTAAGCTTTAAAACCTGAAATATTTACAAAGAAAAGCTTTAGCTTGGTGAAGTTGGCAAATGGTAACTAAGTACATGATGTATGTTTTTGAAATTCAACCAACTGTATCTGGATCATTATTTATTTTCCAGTCTGCTTACAACGATGGTTGTTGACAGCTAACAAAACAAAACTCGTTCCAGAATGAAAGTCTGACATCATATAAACAGCCCCTCAAATGTCAAATGTCAAATATCAGGGCCAGAATAAACAAAAGTTCTGGGAAGTAAGTTTGATAATGAGCCCACATATTCTTCATAAAATTGTTAAGTTTTTTTTTTTACTGTAGACAACAATACAGAAAAAGCTAACTGTGCTTTGTTCACAGAATATTGAGAACTGAAATTGTTGTAAATTTGTTACAAAATGAGAAGCATCTGCAAATGTGGCAAAAATTGTAAACAAAGGTTTGCTAATGAAGCAATGTTAAGAAAGCACACTGAAAGAAGTCTATTTACCTGCTTCATAAGCAACTTGCATTGGAGTTCTTCCAAGCTTGTCTGCGTGATTCATGTTGGCTTCATGTTCTAATAAAATCTGCACCACTTCATCATGCCCTTCTTGTGAAGCAATACAAAGAGATGTGGCACCCTCATTAGACATCTTATCCACCTTGGCACCACGTTGAATTAATAGCTGTACTGTAGACACATGACCTTTCCAGGCTGCTGACATCAGTGCTGTGCGACCTTCGCAATCCGCGTGATTCACTGCCGCTCCTTTGTCAAGCAACAACTCCACTAGTTCATAAGAACCTTTCCAAGCAACAGCATGCAGGGGACTTCTTCCTTCAGTGTCCTTACTGTCGACAAAACTTCCTAGATCTAACAGAAGTTCAATCATTGACTTGTTTTCTTCAATGGAGACAGCAAAGAGAGGAGTGCGTCCAAGGCTGTCTTGATGATTTACATCACCACCAAGACTGACAAGGTGTTGGACACAGGCCTCATGCCCCTCCATGGCAGCAAAATGCAGAGCTGTGCGGCCATCAGAAGATGCTTGTTCAATGGGAGCTCCATGTTCTATCAGTACTGACACAACATCATCATGGCCTTCTTGAGCAGCCAGCATGAGGGCTGATCTACCATCAGGGTCCAGTGCATTGATATCAACATTTGCTTCTATGAGTGACAAAACTGTATTCCTGTGCCCTGTCATTACATAAATTAATTTTAGCTCCTCTCCTTAAGGGAAATTGTTAAAATTACCTGCAATTAGGCTTTCTAAGGAAAAAAAAGGAAGACGGACCACCTGATCAAAGGTTATTTTCAAAATTATTGTGCATAGATGGAACCAGAGGCTCCACCCACCTCACCCCTTCCGACATTAGGGAGCTTGAGCAATGACAACGGTAATGGAAGTGAATTCATGCTGTTTCAAACTTCATTATTGTTCTTATCCCAACTCTTTTAATTTGTCAAAAGCAAAGCAAAAGTCCTTGATAACATGGGGTGAAGGGCTTGCACTCAAAACAACTTTTGAAAGTTTAACTAAACATAGAAAAAAATACAGGACTGTTTTCCCAAGGTCAGGGTGAAGGTAAAGGTGCACAAAAGCCAAAGGCCCAAACAGCTGGAGCTTATCCTGGTTTCACTAGCATGAAGCATGCCTAGGAGTATTGCTACTCCCCCTTGGATGGGATGATGGCCTATCACAGGGTTACCTCCCAGCAGTATCTCGCTAGTACCCATTTATACACCTGGGTGAAGAGAGACAAAGTTGAGTAAAGTTCCATGTCTAAGGAAACAACATAGCAGGGGAGGCTTGAACCCTCCAGATCTGGAGTTCAAGGTGTTAACCGTTCGGCCACACATGCCTCCACTGTATTTTCAAAGCACTTAAGAAATCTGGCCAAGGATCTTTAGTACCTTGATGTGCGGCCACCATCAACGGATTCCACCCGTTGTGATCAGGACGAAACATGGAAAACTTTGGTGATGTCCAGCCAGAAGGATCAGGCTTTCCCTCTGAAAAAAGAGATAAAAAAAAAACGTTTGAAAAACATCATTCCATAAGTGTTAAAGGCAGACAGGAATTTCAGTAAGTATCATCAGGGTCTCTCTCTATGTCTTCTAACAATACAGACACACATTTATTGATTTTTAATGTAACTTTGTCAGTTCTATTCTATCTCTATGATTTGAAATTCTACAATCAAAACTTAAACCATGTCATGTTCACAGAACAGAGTTTTGTTCCTCAACAAAAAAGTGCAGAAGTGAACGTTCAATGAAACAGAAAGCGTCACTTTTATTACAAGGTTTAAGTTTTTTGTTCAACTAGAGATACAGTAAAAGTTCCGAAAGAGTTAGCAGTAAAAAATGAAAGCTGTTGACTACATTTTTTACTAGCAATATGCATGTAGTTTTATTAATCACCCTAGTGTAATACAAACCTTCTGCCTTTGACAAAAGCAAATCAACAATATCCTTATGGCCATTAGCAGCAGCAGCAAACAATGGTGTCCTTCCATTTCTGTCCCAGTGGCCAGTGTCTGCTCCTGCGCTTATCAACAACTTTGCTACATTGCAGTAACCCTCCAGTGCTGAGACGCAAAGAGGCGATATACCATCAAAATCAGGATGGTCTACCTCTGCACCACGTTTCAAAAGAAGATCCACTACAGCTTCATGATTCTCACTTGACGATACACAAAGAACAGTCACCGCTAAAGCAGTTCTCCCATCATTGTCTGCATGATTTATTTCAGCCTTGTTATCAAGAAGTATTTCTACAACTTTCCTATGACCCATGTAGGCTGCAGCAATAAGAGCAGTTCTTCCTTCCTTGTCAGCAAGGTTTGGATCGGCTCCATGTTGAAGAAGCTGTAAAACAACATCGGCATGTCCACCCCATGCTGCTCCTCGGAGAGCAGTGCGCTGATCATCATCTACAAGATCCACTTGTGCCGAATGGTTCAGAAGAACAGAAACAACATCAGAATGCCCTCCAGAGGCAGCCGCTCTCAATGCAGTGCATCCATCATCAGCACAGTGATTAACTTTCGCACCACAGTTGACTAGAAGGTACACAATTTCATTATGGCCTTGCCTGGATGCTAGCATAAGTGGTGATTGTCCAGATGTGTCTGAGAAGTTTACATTTGCGCCATGCTTGATAAGAAGCCTCACGACTTCAACATTTCCATTAAATGCGGCATTGCACAACAATGTACGCCCAGCACTGTCAACACGATCAACCGATGTCCCCTTTTCTAACAGAGCTTTAACAGACTCTGCTGTCTCGGGTGCAAAGGCAGATTCCTGTTCTTCAAGCTCCTTCACTTTGGCTCCAGCATTTACAAGAAGCTGAACAACTTCCTGATTCAAAGCATCTGTATTGAGCTGCAAGTCAGCAATTTGCGTTCCACTCCATAACAGCCACAAAGCAAGATGATCTTGTGAAAAAAATTCCCTAAAAGATGCCCGGCTCAAATGAAACGCAAGTTCATGAGGATTTGTAAGTTGTTGTCTTTGAGAGAGCAGAGTATAATACAATGCTAACATTGCATGTCCATCTGCCGGACTGCATAGAAACTTTGGTGTGCAGTGCTTTATGTCAAGCAACCACTCAGCAAAGGATAAATGAGAGATGCTCTTTGCACCATTCTGTTCAGTTAGGATGTGATGCGACATAAGATCCAGAGTTTCCAGAAATTCTTCCATGGTTAGTTCTGTGTCTTTTGTCCAAACTGCTTCAAACATTTCTGAATCATTAAGAGGCCTTTGCGCAGCCAATATCACATTCAGAACTGAACGAATTTTCTCAATTTGTTCCTCTGTGAATAGCCTGTTGCAAAGCCACATGTACAGACCAGATAATGAACCTGGAATCTCTTGTGTTTCATCCAGGGTAAAAAATTCATCCACAACACCATCCAACAATTTTTCTAGGTAAAGAAGGCAGCCATTGCTTTTGATGTGAAGCTGATTAAAAGCTTCAGCAGTCTCCCTGGTCAAATGCTTTCTCAAATTTGGTTCATCATCCAAACGATTTAAAATGTACTGTTGAATGTCTTTGACCACATGTGCCCTTCGAAGATCATCTAAAGTTAATTTTCGAAATCCTGTAAACATCCTCGTTACTGTTTTGGACTGTTTTCTCGCACTGACAACAAGGAAAAGCCAAGACGGGAAAAGATCGTGATGGGTAGCCATTAATTCAGCAACAGTTCTGCTTCCAGATGAAACGCCGGAATCGAAAGAATGCAGGAAAGATTCATCTATGGCGTCCACGACAACTAGAAACACTTCTTGAGGAGGTGGCAGAGAATTCAATGGAAGCAGAACTCCTTCTTTAAAAGATCGGTCCGGATTTCTTACGCACTGTTCAGTTGTGAGATGATTTTGAATTTCCGGTTCATTAAATTTAGCAGCGTAGGACTTGAGTGGTTCTGCTTTAGCAAGTTGCTGGGCAAAACTTGAAATGAAATCAGCAACCGAAACAGAGAGCGCGTTTTGGGCTTGGCAAAAATGAGAAACAACAACCTTCCTCGAAAGCTTTATCTGAATGCCCTCTTTAGTTCTCGGAGACACAAGCTCACGTAAAATGGTGGTTTTGCCCGAACCAGGGCCGCCAAGAACAAATGCTCCTTTAGTCTTTGTATCTTCTTTTCGTTGTCTTCGCTCAAGGCAAGCTTGAATTTTTTCGAACACCCATTCACGACAGTAGAAAGGCCGAGAATGGCGACCATTCTGTGCCATGCTTCGGTTCTCGGTTGAACTCAAAAGAACTCTGACTGTTAAAGAATTCCAACCATTTTTCTGCTCTTCAGAGCAAAACCAGAAAATTGTAGTGCCACCAATCTAAAATACCTCGCACGCGGATCGACGGTTGAGAACCGACGCGTCCCAAGGGAGCTGAAATGCATTGTGAAATTTGACACGTTCATATGATTTGTTGATATTTGGGTTCTGCCCTATTGCTCGTCATGTGCCCCCGGCATATTTTACAAGGATTAGAGCTGTTTGGCGTCGCTAAATGAGCTCAAAATTAATAAACTTGGCTCTTTGTTACCCAATTAATACTGTCCTAATAAATCTCTTGGCAAGGAGAATGGAAGAAAGACCGTTCTTACAAGAGTGATATTTCAGCTTGGGGGTTTGCAAGTGCATGTGTTAATAGAAATCGTACACCCTGATTGAAAAGTTTAATTTCACAACAAGTGATCTGATTGGCTCATGCAACAAGAACAACAATGTAACACAACAACCTTTTAAAGGCGGTTATTTGTAAATATTTGATTAAACCCTCTGTTTGAAGTTTTTTTGTTTAAGACAGGATCATCTACAGTTCTGCTTAGCTATTATATAAATAAAAGTAAATCAAAAGATAATTACTATGATCAAGTGAATCGCAAGACATACAGGCAAGTTGTTACGTGAAGAATGATTTTTAAGGGTACACTTAAGGAGCTCTTTATTTAAATTGATATGATTTATAATTTTGTCATTGAAGACTTTGTTCGTCGCGTTGTACTGGCGCCATAAATTGACTTCATGTCACTTAGTATGGTATGTAAGAAGTATTCACGCAAAATTAATGTCCTTCAGTGCACTGGTTTATATTCTAATTTTACCTGCAAGAAAATGTTCAACATTTCTTTGAATTGTAACTTACATAGACAAAATAAAAGGACAATTTTGTCTTAAAAATGTTTTTAAAAATGTTTTGTTTGATGTCCTTCTAAAACCAAACATTTGACTGATTTACGGTTACCCAGGATTTCCGCGGGTTTTGCGGGGTGGCTTTACAAAATATTTAAGGGTGGGGTACTATTTTAGGAAATCAGTCCAGAATTCCACCGGAATTAAGAAGCCTAATATAAATGCGGAACTTTTCTGTAAACTTTAAAGTCACGTTACAGAAACAAAAAACAGAATTCGAGCAAAATCTGTAAACAATCCAGTCGCAGAAAAAGATACCTGCTTTTAAAAGAGTCCCTGTGCTCCGGAAAGATCCGGAAGAGCACACTGTCAGTTTAAACATGATAACATTATTCTACTTTGCACACTAAGGACACTAAGCCGATCTTATTAGCTACTGATCTGATAAGCTTCTTCCTTTCAAATAAAATTTCCTTAATTTTTCTTTTAATCAGTCGGAAATGGTGGCAACTGTTCAGAAATCAGGATTAACTGATTTGTGACAGAAGGCGTCCACTAAACACGGATAAACGTCAGAGTCGGTTGGGGGGGGGGGTTATTGGAATACCAAAATACCCGAAATACTGACCTTCCAGTATACCAAAAATTATTCTAAAACTCGTGTAAAATACCAAAATTATGAAAACCACGGAGTGAATGAATACTGTATACCTGAAATTAAATACCCCAGTATACTGTATACCCCAAAACCCTGGCCGACCCTGAAACGTGTCTCGGAGTTCACGACACTTTCTTTCGGTATCCTAGAATAAAAGGAATGCAAACAAGCCGACCAAATACACTCTTTTTTTTTTTTTACAAGAATGTTGTTTTTCCGGCCCAGGCTGAATATTCTTATTTTTTCTGTGGCTTTTAGGTCTTTAGGCTTAAATTATTCCTGAATTATTCTTAAATTATAGCTTATGGTCTTTCCGCTTTTATTTAGGATGACTGGGATTTCAGTTGCCAGTTTTGTGTTCTGTTTTGCCGTTTAGTGAAAGGAATAATTATTTTATCGGTTAAGTTGAAAACATAATGCTGATAATGATATCATTGTACTTTTAATATTTACAGATTTTAAACACAAAATTTAGTCCTTTTAAAACTCTTAGCCTTGGGTTTATTCTTAAAATATTCTTAAAATTTCGCAAATTTCAGCCTCGATATTCTTATAAAATAGTGTTCTTGTAGAAAAACACAGACTTTTCCGTTCGTAAACATTTTGCCATTAATACCAGGACATAGTGCCAGTGATACGCTGGTCCGGCGTTTTGCCGGCTTTTTGGATAGATTGTAGTTTGGCGTTCGTTAAATGTTCAGTTTTACAAAAATGAGCTGGGATCGGCTACTGCTTTAATTAAAAGAACATCTATTTTAAGAACGTCTAAAAAAATCAGGTGCAGCTACCCGGCGTGGAGTTTTGGGTATCCTTCTCTGGTAAGTTTGTTCAAATTGTTCAACTTTTTTACAAGCTGTAAGGTTTTACAGTCTTTGCATTGTCATGGACCAAATTTTAAGAGCAATAGTGGCTTCAGATCATCCTGAAAACGTCAAAAAGTCCTTAATTCAACAACTTGTCTCGAAAGCTGGCGGTAATGTTGCTGATGATCAGAACAGAGCTCTGTTTGAAATTGGGACCGAATGGATGATTAAAGACGGTTCAGTCTTTCTCAATGACAGTGGAAAACTTGTCCTTACAACGTGGGTAAAACGACAAAAAGACGTCTTTCAAAAGTATTTTACTGAGGGATATCTTCTTTCCTTCCTCGCTGAACGCGAGAAAATGTCTCTTAACTGTGTTGAATATCTACGGACCTGCTTTGACTTAATGCAGCACAACTCGCAGATATTCTCTTTGTACACGGCTGTGCGTCACAGAGCTCATATGTGGGTGGAAAAGAATTCAGATATAGACTTTTGTGCGGTTGTGGCAAGGCTTTTGATCGAGTATGATCACTGCTGGCCAGTTGGGGAAAATTTGCTCCAGTGTAACTTGTCTTTGATCAAAGCCTTGAGTAGAACAGAACTCCCCAAAACATCAAAGGAAGAAATGAAAGCTTGTCTTCAGAATTGTGCGATGATTGCTGCTCTGTTGAATAAGATGTGGGTGAAAAATCAAGCCCTGTTGTTTCCTGTCTTAACTGAAATTTTTAAGATTATTTCAAATGTAGGCCCCAATCCGTCTGTAGCCGTTGCTTCTGTAGTACAGTACTTTTCTACTGACATTATAGACAATGCAACAAGTCTTGCTGCCTCTAATCCATCAGTTTCAGATGAAAATCTGTCTCTTTCACTGTGTCGTATGATTAATTGGCTTTCATGGCCTGGAGTTAAAAAGGTGGACCAGTGGATTATTGGGTTTTTAAAGGCTTTGGCAAGTGCTAAAAAACATTCAATCCTCATTTCTGTTACTCTCAAAGAAGTCGCACAGGTATGGGCAACATGGTTAATTAGGTTTAATGTCACTTTGTTCCAAAATCAGATCTTTGCAATCCAGATCGTTCCATTTTATAGTCAGATTATCCCACAGTTTCAGTGTATAACTCTATATGAAATGCACTTTTTTGGCCTCTTGGCTTAAAGATTGAGGAATACACGTGAGTTATGCCCCTGTTTCTGCTGGTGGCTTCAAGACTTATGAAAAGTTCTGACTATATTGTGGAGCGATCTGCCTATCAAGTGGAACAATCTGACTTGGAATCATCTGACCATGGAATGAAGTGACTGGATATCAGTAACATTGTAGGCTAGTCGTATAGATATATGCTGTCCCAAGGCTCTGCTCTAAGAAAAACTGAAAGGAGCTCAAACCTCTGAACCTGTGAAATCCAGGGTGCTCAGCATATGATTTCTATAAATAAATAAAAAAACAGGCAACCAGTTGCCAAAGGCACTGAGAGGCACCAGGGACCACCACGTGAAAAAGTTCACCAATCATTTCAACTGTATCCATGAGTACAACTGATTTAAATGCCAGAATAGTGGAATTGCAAATGGATCTTGCTAAATTTTCATATAGTTTCAAGGGCTGTTTGACATTTTTTTGGTGGTCACACGTTTCCCCAAGAACAACTAGCTTTTCTGAGCTATCTTCCTTTGAGAATGATTTTTGTAGTTCCTTTTGCAAGGATTAAAAATAACCCAATTTGGCTTTTTTTATGCCAAAAATTTCTCTGTGACTTCAAATAATTCCCACAGTGAGTCACTTTGACTCCATTGAAGAGTTCCCAAATGTTCAGCAGAATTTTGTTTTCTGTCAACCAAAATGCTAAAACTTGTTAGATTCCTAAAGAAAAAATACAAAATCAAACGAGCTGGCAGTCTTCCGTTTTTAACTAATATTGTAACTCTTTTTGGTCAGCAGTTAGAACTCCCTCACCCACTACCTTCATGTGATGGTGGTATGAAGTACCTGCTACCTCCCGTTGCACAAAATTGCTGCCTCTTTGACTTTACACTTTCAAAAATGACTCCAATATTTGTGGAGGAGTCAAAGTGGTTTCAAAGGGAGAGAGAAATTTTTATCCCTGCTTTTGAGTATTTTTTGTTTTGTTAATGATCAAATTCTGTTGAGCATCTCTAATGTCTTGTAATGGTAATCTGTTTTCTTTTCTTTCCTGTTATTGATAGGTCTTTAGTCGATTGTTATTCCCCATAGTTCGTGAGAGCACAATGGTCGTTTTATCTCACATGCTACTCAGCTTTCAACACTCGCCACAAGCTTTTCATGAGGTAATTCTTTTAAGCTGTCTTCAGTAGAATAATGATAGTGAATTAAATATTAGTCACCATATCCAGGAGATAAATAGTTAAAATTCCCATAACCAACAACCCCAAATGCCCAGATTTGGTGGTTTTTTGTATGCAGCGGTTACTTTTGAGGGGTAGCTGCTTATTAGGTGTGCTTGCATGTGGAGGTTTGACTCAAGACTGTATTCGATATTCGACTTTCCTCAACCAAGTTTCCTTACTCTGTGTAAATGGAAGAACAAGATAATGTCGAATATTACCCCTTGCCAACACCAAACAATGTCAGAGCATTGTAGAATGGACTGTGAGCACTGACTAATACATTGTTACTTAGAGAAGGAGTGATGTTTGTGCTTCAAAATGTTATTAAGTTCTCTCTACCGGTATGGATCATTTCTAACTTGCCCCTAGCATCTTTTATTGTAAATATAGTAAGAGGAAAGCATTTGTGACTTCTCACGTGTTTGGAAACACTTTTGCAAAATGTTAGTCATGGTGAACTGTTTAAACCTGGATTGTAATTTTGGCAGGTCAGTACCTTTTTGCCTTCCATGAAATGCAAGATCAAACCTGATGTATAATATGGAAGTTGTGATATAAACATATTCAGAAAAACTGTATCCCTCTTGGTGAGGAAAAATGTTTATTGATTATAGCTCATTTCATTTCTGTTTTTTTTTTCTAGATTGTGGAGCACGTACCAAGCCTTGTACAGAATCTAAAAACAGAAAATTCTGTATCCTCACTGTCTACTTTACAAATGTTGGCAGAACTTATGCACTGCCTCATGTATCAACACACAGGCTTTCCTGAGCTGTATGGTCCAATTCTTGATTGTCTCCAGGTAACAGAGGATGTTCATTAATATTTGGAGCTGGAAACTAGTGGTTGTGGTAGTGAATGTAAATCAGGGCTCAAAAAAGGCTTGAATAATTTCCAGCTTGTCCTTTGGGCAAGCAGTTGTCACATTTTGCTTGGCCGGGTCACTTCTTGCTGGTCTTAGTTAATGATTTAGTTAGAAGAAGACTTGCTTAGACACTTGCCCATCAGGCAAGTGAATTTTAAAAGTTACTTGCCCAGCAAGAAAATCTTCTTGTTCTGGATGACCTGACGAGACTTTTTCCAAGCCCTGGTAAATTTGTTAATGTGCTAAATTTCATTTATGTCTTGTTGTAGGATTTGCCCAAACCCTCAGAAGTGATGATTCGCAAGTGGCTTGCCCAGAGTGCTTGGTCAGCTCGCTCTGTTAGCATTCCATTGGCTGGTTTTACTCCTAAATCAGAAACTGGAAAAACTGGTTTAGTCAACTTGGGTAACACTTGTTACATGAACAGCGTGATACAGGCTCTATACATGCTAGAGGAGTGAGTTATCGTTTGTATCTTATTTTATTTTTACTTATTTTGGCTGTAAACCTTCCACCAGTTAGAGTCGATTACAGTGATACTGGATAACATAGCTTGAGTAAACAGCTGACATTTCACAATGCTAGCACTGGTTTCCCCACAAAATGATGTCTGAGAAACAAGTGCAGAAATTCGCTGTGTATGACATGTCACCGCCCAGAATATGGGTGTTTTAAAGGCTTTGGCAAGTGCTAAAAAACATTCAATCCTCATTTCTGTTACTCTCAAAGAAGTCGCACAGGTATGGGCAACATGGTTAATTAGGTTTATAGTCACTTTGTTCCAAAATGAGATGTTTGCAATCCAGATCGTTCCATTTTATAGTCATAGTATCCCACAGTTTCAGTGTATAACTCTATATGAAATGCACTTTTGTGGCCTCTTGGCTGTTTCTGCCGGTGGCTTCAAGACTTATGAAATGTTCTGACTACATTGTGGAGCGATCTGACTATTAAGTGGAATGATCTGGCTTGGAATGATCTGATCATGGAATGAAGTGACTGGATATCAGTAACATTGTAGGGTAGTCCTATAGATATATGCTGTCCCAAGGCTGTGGTCTAAGAAAAACTGAAAGGAGCACAAACCTCTGAACCTGTGAAATCCAGGGTGCCCAGCATATGATTTAGTCAACCAGTCGCAAAAGACACTGAGAGGCACCAGGGACCACCACGTGAAAAAGTCCACCAAACATTGCAAATGTATCCATGAATACAACTGATTTAAATGTCAGAATAGTGGAATCGCAAATGGATCTTGCTAAATTTTCATATAGTTTCAATGGTTGTTTGACATCTTTTTGGAGGTCACACATTACCCCAAGAACAACTAGCTTTTCTGAGCCATCTTCCTGTGAAAATAATTGTAGTTCCTTTTACAAGGATTAAAAATAACCTAATTTGGCTTTTTTTTTACGCCAAAAATTTCTCTGTGACTCCAAATAATTCTCACAGGGAGTCACTTCGACTCTGTTGAAGAGTTCCCAAATGTTTAGCAGAATTTTGTTTTCTGTCAACCAAAATGCTAAAACTTGTTAGATTCCTAAAAAAACAATACAAAATCAAACAAGCTGGCAGTCTTCCATTTTGAATTATTGTAACTCTTTTTTGGTCAGCAGTTCTCCCTCGCCCACATACTTCATGTGATGGTGGTATGAAGTACCTGCTCCCTTCCATTACACAAAATGGCTGCCTCTTTGACTTAACACTTTCAAAAATGACTCCAATATTTGCGGAGGAGTCAAAGTGGCCTCAAAGGGAGAGAGAAATTTTTTATCCATGCTTTTGAGTATTTTTTGTTTTGTTAAAGACCAATTTCTGTTATGCATCTCTAATTTCTTGTAATGGTAATCTGTTTTTTTTTCTTCCTTTTTTTGATAGGTCTTTAGTCGATTGTTATTCCCCATAGTTCGTGAAAGCACAATGGTCGTTTTATCCCACATGCTACTCAGCTTTCAACACTCGCCACAAGCTTTTCATGAGGTAATTCTTTTAAGTTGTCTTCCCTAGAATAATGATGATGAATTTAATATTAGTCACCATATCCAGGAGATGAACTGTTAAAATTCCCATAAGTGACAACCCAAATGCCCAGACTTGGTGTTCATTTACATGAGTTGGTTACTTTCGAGGGGAAGGTGCTTATTTGATGTGCTTGCCTGTGGAGGTTTGACTGTATGCTATATTTGACTTACCTCAACCAAGTTTCTTTACTCTACGTGTGGAATTACCCCTTGCCAACACCAAACAACGTTGGAGCATTGTAGAATGAATTTTGAACACTGACTGACATATTGTAACTTACAGAAGGAACACAATGATGTTTGTGCTTCAAAATGTTGTTAGGTTTTCCCTACCCTTATGGATCATTATTTTGTAACTTGCTCCTAGCCTCTTTTGTAGTATTTGAAGTAAGAGGAAAGCATTTGTGACTTCTGACATGTTTGGAAATGCTTTTGCAAAATGTTAGTCATGGTAAACTGTTTAAACCTGGATTGTAATTTTGGCAGATCAGTACTTTTTTGCCTTCCATGAAATGCAAGATCAAACCTGATGTATAATGTGGAACTTGTGATATAGACATATTCAGAAAAACTGTATTCCTCTTGGTGAGGAAAAATATTTATTGATTATAGCTCATTTCATTTTTGTTTTTTGTTTTTTCTAGATTGTGGAGCATGTACCAAGCCTTGTACAGAATCTAAAAAAAGAAAATTCTGCATCCTCGCAGTCTACTTTACAAACGCTGGCAGAACTTATGCACTGCCTCATGTATCAACACACAGGCTTTCCTGAGCTGTATGGTACAATTCTTGATTGTCTTCAGGTAACAGAGGATGTTCATTAATATCTGGAACTAGAAACTAGTGGTTGTGGTAGTGAATGTAAATCAGGGTTCAAAAAAGACTTGAATAATTTCCAGCTTGTCCTTTGGGCAAGCAGTTGTCACATTTTGATTGGCCGGGGTCACTTCTTGCTGGTCTTAGTTAATGATATAGTTAGAAGATGACTTGCTTAGACACTTGCCCATTGGGCAAGTGAATTTTGAAAGTTACTTGCCCAGCAAGAAAATCTTCTTGTTCTGGATGACAAGAGACTTTTTTCAAGCCCTGGTAAATTTGTTAATGTGCTAAATTTCATTTATGTCTTGTTGTAGGATTTGCCCAAACCCTCAGAAGTGATGATTCGCAAGTGGCTTGCCCAGAGTGCTTGGTCAGCTCGCTCTATTAGCATTCCATTGACTGGTTTTACTCCTAAATCAGAAACTGGAAAAACTGGTTTAGTCAACTTGGGTAACACTTGTTACATGAACAGCGTGATACAGGCACTATACATGCTAGAGGAGTGAGTTATCGTTTGTATCTTATTTTATTTTTACTTATTTTGGCTGTAAACCTTCCACCAGTTAGAGTCGATTACAGTGACACTGGATAACATAGCTTGAGTAAACAGCTGACATTTCACAATGCTAGCACTGGTTTCCCCACAAAATGATGTCTGAGAAACAAGTGCAGAAATTCGCTGTGTATGACATGTCACCGCCCAGAATATGGGTGTGGGTATCTGATTGGATGAAGCAAATTTCCCTCGCGGCAGGACCAATGAGAAACCCCACCCAAATCTGGGTAGCGACATGTCATAAGTATGGAATATCTTCAGTTGCTCCTCAGATGTCCTTTCGCAGGGGAAACCAGTAGTGGCGCCACAAAATGTTGTCTGTTTTCTAATGCCATGGTTAACAGTGATGGCAAATTATAAGAATTCTTAGCCGGTAATTTTCTCCTCTGATCGTTTGTTTGATTCAGTTGCCTTCCTTCTAAAGCATATACCAGAAACTGAAAGATTACTATCAATATTACAGGTTCCGTTACATGATATTTGGACGTTATTCTAGCACTAGCCAGCCACTGCTACATCACCTACAGGAAGTGTTTGCATTTCTGACTCTGTCACAGGTACTTTCATCAGAATAAATTCCTCCTTGGCTGGGAATGATTAATGATAATCATTTGTAAGCTTTATAAGGGTACTGATGCAGGAACGGATCCAGGAATTTTCATTTACTGCATCAAAACTGGTCTGGGGCAAGAGGACTTTAGTGCAGAGTAGGAACTGATACTTGGACATTAGTTATAGGGCGGCCTGAACCGGAACGTGGTTTAGGCAAGGCTAAGAGTTGATGAGGGTCTCAGAGAGCCATCAGCACACCATTCCCTGCAAAAATGTTCTGAATACCACTAGGGCGGGGGGACATTTGTCAAACACCTTTGAATTACAAAAATTTCAATCATGCTGCCTCCAGGGTAATCAAGTTATTGACTAGTAACAAATGCAGTTGTACGACAGAAAAGATGGGTTATTTATTTTTCTTTTGTTGTGATTATTATTTTGACAGAGATCAGCCATTGCCCCTTCTAAGTTCCTTAAAGTTGCCAGACCTCCATGGTTTGCTCCAGGAACCCAGCAAGACTGCTCCGAGTTCCTCAAGTTTCTTCTGGACAGGATCAGTGAAGAAGACAAATCACTCAATGAAAGTAACGAGAGCGATTCGCTAAAAACACCACTCATTGACGAGACCTTCGCAGGGACGCTCTTAGTTTGTCTCTGCTGTCGCGGTTGTAACAACACTTCTTGCAGGGAAGAGGTCTTCACGGATTTGCCCCTCTCGTTTCCTCAAGCTGGAGAACTGGAAGGCAGGGTAGATTCAGTAAAAAATGAGAATTCGTTTGCAGGTAAAGAACCTGTTGAACATTCAGATGTAACAGCCTCTGCAAGCTCAGCTGCTAGCTCAGAAAGAAGTCTTAAAGGAGGCGACATCAGCCATACAACTTGCACACCTGAATTAGCTGCAAAGACTATTGAAGAGAACGAAGCTGTGGCAGGCACTTCAACATCAGACAATTCGGTGTCATTTAGTTCGGGGACAACCTTAGCGACAAAGTTTCAGGAATCAAGTTTACGGAGCGATAAGCCAGAGATATCAATCACTGAGTTGCTAGAGTACTTTTTTGAGCCTGAAATTTTGGAAGGTTCCAATCAATATCATTGCGAGCAGTGCCATAGTTTACAAGATGCAGAGAGAACTGTCACAATTTCCAAAGCGTCTGATTTTTTAGTGTTGACGCTAAAGAGGTTTGCCTACAATGTGCGGACACAGCAAAGGTCTAAAATATTACAAGGCGTTTCATACCCGCTTATTTTGAGGCTTCCGAAGGCGCATTTGAAGAAAAGTCTCAGTACAAGAGAAACAAAGCACTCGGAAACTCATGATTTAACCACAGGTGTTCTTGAAGAAAAACGAGAAGATATTAACGAGACATGCTTTAGATCTAAAAGGACCAAACAAGAACATAAGGTTTTGGACGACAATGCTGACTGTGATAGCGTGATAACATCTTTTGAAGAGAAACCTTCGTCAGATATAGTGTACTCTCTGTGTTCAGTGATAGTTCACTCGGGGACTTCCTCAGAAAGTGGACACTACTATTGTTATGCTCGTTCATCGTCGCATCTGTTGGAGGAAGGAGAAAGAGACGATGGCGCGGCTAGTTCTAGAACAGATGATCAACACACTTGGTTTCTCTTTAATGACAGTCGTGTGTCTTATTCGGCATATAGTGCGTTTGCTGACGTATCTAAGCGTTTCCCAAAGGACACTCCTTATGTGTTGATATACAAGCGTGTCGGTGGTGTCACAGTCACCCCAGTCGAGAGCAGTAGTGATGAGTCACAGTACAACTTGATTTGCAAGGAAATCAGGCCGGAGCTTGCTGATATTGTTAATCGTGACAACCTTTTATATCTGCAGGTAAGTCAATAACCGTTTTTGCTGAGACTAAGTAACTTGTCATGCTTCAGAACAGAAGAAAGCCGACTTGCTCGCACATATTACGAAGGCTCACTCTACGAAGTTATGCAAAGGTGACTTGTCCGTAAAGAAATCTATAGGTAAACGTGTTGCTCCTGTAGACAGATTTGTTTTGCACACTAAACGTATTGTTTTTGTTTGTTTGTTTGTTTGTTTGTTTTTTATGTTTCCGTGCCTTCGCCATCGTAGTCGTGACTTTTAGGTTTGACTTCGAGTACGACTTTGAAATTTCGGGCTTATTTATCACCCAACTTTAACCTTTCCTGTTATTAACTAGTACATAGATAAACATTAGGGAGAAGATTGGTGCGTTAAGGAATAATAAGTACCGCTGGCTATGGCTCTCTAGGCGTTCACGTGATCGACCAAACGAGGCTAAATGAGAGCCAAAAAGTAGGGGATACATTAAAAAAACATTTTTTGGAGTGTAATGTACCTCTCTTGTCTACAGGAGCAAGAACGCCAGATGATTAATGCTTCTAAACGAAAGGCTTGGTCACACAGCTATCAGCCACCTGATGACGACGATGACAACAACCGGGGTCCCCCCGGGAATTGCGGTAGTGGTCCAGGATTTACAACACCTTTTAACCGGTTTGTCTTCTAGTTAATCTGGTTAAACCGGTCGTGCCCAGTGACTGGTTCATGGAATGAACATTTACAAATTGTATATGACAATTGGTAGCTCTGAGTCTTAGATATGTTATCAGCTCTAAAGCGATGGGTTTCAACTAGTTTAGTCAGAAAATGGTTAGAACATTGTACAGGTTTGATTACCATACCAAAAGAGGTTTCTCAGTTTCTCTCTTTAATCTTGGCTGCGCGAGTGAAAGACCCCTAACAGTAGAATACAAATTGTTTGTGAGAAATTTAACGGGAAATTCAACGCATGAGGTCGTCTTATTTTGCATTTTATCAAAATATCGTTATTATTAGTATTATTATTATTATTATTATTATTATTATTATTATCATTATTATTATTATTATAAATTCCACCCCTAAAACACAGAAGCGTCGCTTTTTCTCAGAACTGATTACAACGCTGTTTAGACACTGTAATCACCGCAAACAAAGTTAGTATGTTAAGTGCTCTTAGAGGGTTTAGTTAAACCTAACGAGATCTGTCTAATTGAGTGTTGGACTGTTCGGTTTCTTGTTCATGACCAGTGGGTGTAGTCTTAGCCTCCCACGCAGGCGTTTTTAGGGGAGCTCGTTTTTCATCCCTCCCCACAAACGCCTGCTCAACCGAAGACAACATTCCTTTCCCGAGCTTAGCCAATCACATTGTACTTTCCAAATTCTGGAAAGTTGACCGTGACCGCAAGGTAATCTGATAATTACTCGATCTGCATTAAACACAGGGAAAACTTTCTGACCTCTAATAAATGTTACATTCAGAGCGGCAAAAATAAGCTTTAGTTAAAATTTAGAATACTCCATGGACTGCATAACCTTAGCGAAGGAAAGAAAAGAAGGAAAACGGTAACTCTAGGGTCACGTTCAGTCGTGTTTAGCCTGTCAACACTTTATTGCACAATTGTTGATTGGTCACTTACCACGCAAATAAAACAATGGGAAAGGAATGTTGTTTTCCGTTGAGCAGGTGTTTGTGGGGAGGGATGAAAAACGAGCTCCCCTAAAAACGTCTGCGTGGGAGGCTAGTGTAGTCTTGGTGTTCTAAGAATCTTAGGGCCTGTTTACACGGAGGTGGGGGACCCTAGGTAGGTGAGAAAACCCGCCTGTCCACATAATCTCTCATTTTGATTTGATTACGTTTACATGATAGGTGGGGTGACCCGCCGCATTTTACCTCACCTATCTGGGGTCCCCCACCTCCATGTAAACTGGCCCTTAGATAACCAGATTAAGACCATCAATTGAGGAAATAACAGTCTTCGGCGGAATGTACAAGGCCACGTGTAGGAGAGAAAACGAAACGTAAACTTCTTGAAAGCAGAACAGATCCAGCCTTGTCGATAAGCCTCAACAGTTTGATAAGTAGGTTCGTGGCAGGCCTTCGAAAAGTTAGGGGGATTGTTCTTGTTTCTAACAGCCAATCCTACTACGTTTTTGCTCGCCCTTTTTTGTGTTGTTTTTCCTTTATGTACTTGAACCTGCTTATTTCCTGCTTTACTGTTTAGACGTAATAGTGTTTATTATTAAGTTGTCAGATTTTGAATGCTTAGGAAGTGGGATGTTAACCGGTTATAATGTCACGAATAAAAACAATCGACCGATTATATCATGACCTTATTTTTCTTTTCGATATATCGTTTTTAGACACCCTAACATTCAGTTTTCTCATGTGAAGAGAGGTGAAGTGTAAACTCGCCTTTTTGTCTTACTGTCTTTTGTATTATTGTAACCGTCATGGTTTTTCCGTTTGAATAGGTAGGAATTTAATTTGCATTGAACTTTGCATTTAATGTCTTTCGGCGCGTTAAATGAAGTTGTGTACTTAGTGTCTTCATAGAATAAATTACTTCACTGAACATGGATTCAAGTGTTCCTCAGAAGTTACTATGACACCCAAAGATATCCCTTAGTTTTGCCGTGTTATTCCTTTAAAAGCAATGCGATGATAATTTACTTCTTCGTAATGTATCGAATCCACATTCACTTGTCTTCAGTTATGTTCCGTTATGTGTGTGGAAGAGCATAACTTGCGTAAAAGATTTTAAAATGCAAATTGAACTTGTAAATTTAATAAATGGTTTAAAATTTGCATAGTTACCAAAGAGCTTGTCCTGCGATAACAGGGCAATCAGTTCAGAGGAGGGGAAGTCATTCACGCAAAATGCGTTCAATGACTCTTCATTCCATCTTAAATTGTGTACTTCTATGGGTACTAACTCAAGGTGATCATAGCCTCGAGAACGATGAAATAGACGGCAAAGTTTACACAAACTCTTGGGCCGTTCAACTTGATACGCACGATCAATCAGTGGCGGATAGAGTGGCGAGGAGCTTTGGTTTTGAAAACCGCGGTGCGATTGCAAATTTAGCTGGATATTTTCACTTTGTTCATGGACAAACTGGTAGTCGTCAAAAGCGCAGTGCGGACCATCACACTCAGCCCTTACTAGCGCACCCCCGGGTCAGATGGGCTAAACAACAAACTCTGCTTTTCAGGTATAAAAGGGGGTTCGAGGCTATAGAGCAAACTCGTTCGCGTAATCGTCGTACACAGGAAAACCGGAGATATTTTGATGATCCAGAATGGCCAAAGCAGTGGTATCTTTACGATAATGGCGAAGGACCAAGCGGGAACCTGGGAGTATTGGAAGCTACTAAGCGCGGTTATACTGGGAAAGGGGTAGTTGTCACTATCGTCGATGATGGCTTGGATCATAGACATCCGGATTTAAGCGCAAATTATGATCCAGAGGCCAGCAGAGACGTGAATGATAATGATGACGATCCTACTCCAGATGATTCTAAACCTGACAACGCTCATGGAACGGAATGTGGCGGAGAGGTGGCGGCAACTGCTGGAAATGGGATTTGTGGTGTGGGAGTAGCTTATAACGCTTCTCTCGGCGGAATCAGAATGCTTGACGGAGCTGTTACTGATGTTGTCGAAGCAGAAGCCCTTGGTTACAAATGTGATTATATTGATATCAAGAGTGCATCCTGGGGTCCAAAAGATGATGGCAAAACATTTGGCCTTCCGAGCGAACTCACCAGTGAGGCGATGAAAAACTGCGCTCTGCACGGCAGACAAGGTCAGTATTCAGCGCCGTAGCTAGTATGAGGCCAACCGAGGCACTCGCCTCGGTAAAATTTTGACGAATTTCGCCGATCATTTTTATTTTACATAAGCGAACATCGGATATTTTTAACGCATCATGATATTACAAAGAATTCAGCAATTCAGTCAATATACTATGAAAAAATTACCATATCATCGATCTCAAGGGGCTACGTACGTTAACTCAAATTTTTTTTGAACAAATGCTGATCAAAACCATTGGCGAGGTTAACGGTCACCCAGATTTTGTAGCTTGTTTCTGATTATTGCTTTTTAAATTCCACTTAAATTAACTCCAAAAAAAGTTACCGAAAGGCCCA